AGGACACACATGTGTAAATACCAAATAGTTTCTCTAGTGTGAGAAACTGAAAGTGTAAATAAGGACTAAAAGGTATAATAGATAATGTGAAACAAGAAAAGGGGCAAAGGGGAAGGGGAAGTGGGAGGGGTAGGGGAAAGCAAAGAAGGGAATGGAATTAATATGAGAAAATGAAAAAATGGAAACAAAGTCTTTGTAACTAAGGAGGGATGGAGGGGTTGAAGAGTGAGCAGGGGAATGGGGAAAAAATAAGAACCAAGAGTGATTATATAATGGTGCAAATTTCCAGTGATGAATGTCATTATATTGTATACCTAAAATGTACAAATAAAATTAATTAAAAAAAAAAAACAGGGCCAGGATTTAGCTCAGGGGTTCCGCCTCCTACCTCGAAAGAGGAAGATCCCAAGTTCGATCCCCGGTACCAAAAAAAAAAAAGACAACAACAACAACAAAAGGTGTCCTCTGTTTTTAAAAAAAATATTCATTTTTAAACTAAGTTTATAATGTTTTTTCTATCTATATAAAGAAATACTGTATAGGGCTGCCCTCCATCCTAAGACTGATTGTGTCAGTCTTTGAACTGAGTTTTCTCCATTTCTGGCTTCAGGAACTTTCAGGTTGAAAGGTTTGTTCTTTTCTAATATTAACTTATTACCATCAACAGCAGACAAAAAAGAGTTCTGCCACTACCAATAGGCACTACAGCCCTTATCCAAGACCTGTCTCAAGAAAAACACTAACAGAATTTTTAGAATCTTTAACAAAAACATCAAAGAAGTTACACTGCCATCTTCCACATAATTGGCAGTTCCAAAAATAAAAGGGTGTGGGGAGGGTGACTGTCACTGTCAAAATAATGATATCTTTTATGTTCAGGCTTCAGAACAACTTAAACCTATGTAATTCAAGGGCAATAACAAAACACATTTGAAATAACAGAGGAAGGGGTTACAAAATTAAAATATTCAAATGAAATTAAGTCCTAGTAATAGCAAGCAAGAATGGGAAATCAAAAAGACTTTCCTGATAGCCTCATGCTTAACTCTTCTAAATAGTCTGGAATTTTAAAACTTTTTTTTTAAGGATAGAAAACAGACAGTAGGCAGCTTTACTGGTCATTTTCCAGGATACACTATTGAAACAGCTTTCTATGAATCCAGATGTGCGCACATGCATACATGGTTTTAAGAACAGTAAGGCTGCAAAGCGGATCTGTAACATAAATCTACTCAATATTTGTTGGGGCAGTTTGAAGAGGAATGGTAGGTGAGAAAGGAGGGCTGACAACCAAGAAGACTGAAAAATGAGGAAATACAGGATGGAAAAAGATCTTTAACTGGATGCTTTTAAAAGGTTTTCTGGGAGTAGAGAGGTAATCTATGACTTTCTGTAAATAACAGGTATCAAATCACATCAGTCTACCTCTACAGCTGGCAGAGTCCTAATGCATTTGTAAAAACAGTTCTGAATTAGTGCTTTAAGCCACGGAGCCAGGAATATTGGGTGATGTTGTTTGGTTTCATTACCAAGTCATGGAGTGTGCCTGTGAAAATCTCAAATCCTTTGTGCCTCACGATCCTGACTATAATAATATCCTCTCGTAAAGTGCTTGAACGAGTCAAGATAAAGTACAAGCTGGAAGATAAAGTGCTCAGAGCACTTTTGCCAGGTGGATTAATAGCAGAGCTGAACATCCAGTCACCTAAGTACCCTCAATTGCTATCAAGCAGTTTGTACTTTACGTTCCCAATAAAAGGGTCAGCTCAAAATTAGTATGAAACTCAACAAACTGAAGGCAGAAAATAGAAAATGCCTGGCCACTCACCTTGGATGATATATAAGGTATATGCTTTCCTGTTATGCAACATCAATATTTATTTCACAAAAATAAATGTGGAGTAGTGTATGTCAAAAAGTATAAATACAACCAGCCTTACAACTTCCAAGAGATATAAATACCACCCCAGAGTGGCAAAATATAAATTCTGAATCTTATAAAAGTACATTCAT